TTACTCAATGATTATGTTTAACAAACTATGTAGAACCGAACGCAGCGCGAGAAATCTTTCAAATTATATTTGATAATCTTTTTAAGTTTTCGTTCATTCGGTATATCGTAATTTGTTTCTCGCGGTAGACCTGTGCAGGTTTGACAAGATTATTTTTTGCGTTTGGCAATTTTTACGAAATCACAGCAAGTATTTTCTATGTGTCTGTGAGGTCGCTACAAGCTAATTGCAGTTTCCACCGCATTACCTATTCTTTCAATTCCCGACGTAATGTGAGAATAATTGGTGCGATTCGTAGAAAAAGAGAAGACACGCCTTCTCTCAGTCAATTTGAGCAACACACACACACACACACACACCGATATACGAGAAGATCGTTCTCGCTTTTTCGTCTCAATAATTTCCATACCAAATTAGTATTTAACTACGACCTACGATCCGATGTATTCTTTCACATGTTTACAACAAATGACATTGAAAGAATCGATAGTTTATTTTTAGCGACGGAGTTTTTTTATCATATTGTTTCACATAAAATCATGTTTTTTTTTTAATTTGCAAAAGTTCACAGAATAAGTGGCGATTTGATCGCCGTAGACAATCTTAGGTCTCTGTGTTCCAACCGAATGGACACCGGCCGGTATACATCCAACACCGTGCGACCGTGCACGTTGGAGAGACCGCAGTGAAAAAAAAACCCGACACCCTTTTACCTTAAACTTGAAACGGCGCGCCGCGCGCGTACAAAATGACAAGTCTTTACGTTGTGTGTTACTTCGTCAACGCGAGTATCAGGTTTTCCGCCCCCTTTCAACCTCGGTAACTACTATGGAAATGAAGTATGTGTTCTCTCAAATCTTAAGGCGCTTTCAACGATGTGTGTCCATTATATAATAGTACCGATTATGTATTTCGAGATCTTCCCTTTTCTTGTGTGAAAGTACCGTCACGGGCTCTTAGTTTTTGATCAGTACTCAATTTTTTTAATCAGTTGTTAAAAAAGTATTACAGTAAGGTTTTGATCGTAAAAATTAGTCCGACAAAAATTTTGACATAATAATTAATTACTTCGACATCTATATACGTTCTTTCGGACGAATTTTGATGACCGAAATCTCAGTACAATATTTTCTTAGCAACAAATGATCAAAAATTGGGTTCGTGACGGTACACTGAGAAAAAAATACTATTAACTCAACTAAATGCGTTTAGTTGAGTTTCAGTTTGTTATCTGAATTACTTGGTTTTTTAATTCAAGCATATGGTAATAAAGATAATAAATTCGTATAAGTTGAATTAACAATAGTGGTAATGAACATATTTCATTCACTAAACCACGAATTGTTTTGTCGAACATAAGTTGCGATAATTTCGAATAAAAGATACCTGTTAAAAAAGATGAAATAGACAATTCTCATTTACTTTAATTGAATATAATCTGAATTTCTTTGTACCAAGTATTTCATATAGGATGCTATATTTTTTCGCAATATAAATTTAATTTCAATTAGGGGGGTATTTGGGATCTCTCATATACGAGATGCAAGTATAGCATCCTATATGAATTTTAGAATTGTTATTACAATTCGAATTTCACGTGTAAAAATTTACACGTGAACACGTATATATGTATATATCGTCACTCCCTACGTATAATTACATAAGTGTCACATATGGGATTTTCAGTTTATTGCATAGTAACACTCAGAAAGTCATGTTCTTTGTGGTCACCAAATATTAAAAAAAAATATTCATAAGTAAGGTAAAAATTTAAAACCGAAAGATCCCTTAACTAGAAAAGCTATATGAAGCTTCAAACTTTTAAACTGCTCTCCTCTAAAATTTGCGTTTTGGAGTTACGGGATTATACGTAGGGAGTGACGATATATACACGTATAATTTCCGCACAACTCCTGGCGAACGGCTCTCATGACCGAATATATATTTATTAGTTTGGAAACTCCGGAGCCTTAAAAAGATTCTTAAATTCGTATAAGTTGAATTAACAATAGTGATAATGAACATATTTAATTCACTAAACCGTGAATTGTTTTGTCGAAACATAAGTTGTGATAATTTCAAACAAAAGATACCTGTTAAAAAAGATGAAATAGGCAATTCTCATTTAATTTAATTGAATATAATCTGAATTTCTTTGTACCAAGTATTTCATTTAATCAAACTGCTTATTTTTACAAGCAGACAAAATATTGCGTTGTCCTATTGTGTTGTACGTTCAAAGTTACCTGTATTTAAGCAAATTATAATTTCGTTAAAACAACTAGATTGTCTTTCGGTAATAATCTAATTGTTATATCTATTGAAACATGATATCTTCTTGCATTAATCAATATTTTATTGACAGCCCGTGACCGCTGCATGTAGTTGGAATCGAATACTATTTTGTTACTTCACCAACGTTTTTTTTCTCAGTGTATATATTTTTTTATTTCTAGGTTTGCTTTTTGCGGGTACAGCGGGGAAAAACTAGTCAAAAGTACACAGCTCAGGTGTTTTACTATTATTATATCTTATATTATGTATCCTAACGAGGGAAACGCACACATATAAATATTCAGAAAGAAAAGAATTCCGCGGTTGTGGGGTTCACAATGGAATCCGAGCCACTTATCGAATAGCATTTCCGTGTGTGGTTGATCTTTCCGTGATCGACACCCGCTATTATTTCTATCTTCGAGATTACTCAGCGAGTTTGAAAGGGGGAGAGAAGATGCAACAGTTGGCCGACGCCATCGAGCGTAACGACAGAGAGACGTTGAACACGAACGGAAGGCCGCGCGGAAGGACGGGCACCTATGCATTAAGCGATTACCTTCGATCAGATAAAGACGCTCTTTAGCAAATGATTTTTTGGTTTCTTTTTTTTTTTCTAAGACAAATGTTAGGGAATGTTAGGAAGTTCTCGTGAGAATAAAACTCTATTCGTAAAAATTTAAAACAAAGATTTATGTAAATTTTAAATTTTAAAAGAAATTAATTGCAACCGAAATTTTCATTTCGCGTGCGCGCAATCGCACGGCAAACATGTGGTAGTGAGAGCGAGGGGAGAAAGTCATTTAAAAAAAAATTTATTCACAATAGGGAGCAAAAGTAATAATACAGAAAAAAAAAAAAAATAGAAATTCGACTGCGTACTTTGTTTACGTCTTAACATGCGTTATCTTACTATATTCTTTTTTTATTTCCGTTATCTACGAAGTTTAGTAATTTGCGATTACGCCGAAGTGCGTAAGATTAAGTCGAGTAAAAAAATCATCGCGAACCGGTTATCGACGAGTTATCAATATAAAGGATTGCGCAAACAAATTTGGCAATGAGATGCGATTACAACTCTACTACTAGAAATACGGAAATCTTTTTCTCTCCCGAGATATCCGCGATGCGGTGTTTGATTAATCGAGTGCAAAGTTAAACAACGCCGACGTTTGCACGCACGGGACGACAGAGACGAGAAGACGTAAAAAAATCATCGTAAAATTGATACATTCCACAAGAGATAGCACGCAAAAACAGAGCTCTCTCCCTCTTCCTCTCTCTCTCTCTCTCTCTCTCTCTCTCTCTTTTTTTTGATTAACCCGTTATCGCGTTGAACTCGTCGTATGCTTCTTCTTTGGCATCGTTACGCGCAAGAGGAAAACACGCGGTTACTGTGTATCTCTGCAACAACAGTATACCTATATATACACCACTCGCACATGCACTTGCGGATTATTGTCGTTTCCGCGGAAATTTTCGTTCGCAGTACGAAATAGACAATTTGCGACGGTGCGCATTATCTAATCACGTACGTGGAAATTCAAAGTTAAATATACCGTACCGTTGCAAAACGCTGGGCGGTTACGTACTTTATTAAAATATCGTATCAAATATCAGAAAAGAATAATAAAGATAATTAGCTTTGACAAAATTATGTAATTCTCGATGATCTCTGACTTACGTAATGTCACATCGTATACTCACTCCGTGCCAATTAAAATGCGAGTAATCAAACATAAAAGATATAAATTTTCGAATCGATTTAATATCGCGGTGACTTTTTCTCTCTCTTGTCTAAAAAAATTTTGAAAAATATATAATTTTAAGAGCGTGATAAAATTTCGTACGTGAATTATTAAAAACAAACAAAAAATAAAACTGTATATGGATTAAAAAAATCGCCAAATTAATTTCCGGAACGTTACGGTTCTCACGAGCTATTTCCAAAAGGGCATTTGCATTCTCTGCAGGTGGATAGACGGGGATAATAAAAATTCCAACGCGTTATGTTAATTAGACGACGACGGTCAAAAAAAAAATCGACTTCCAAAATTTCCATAGCGACTACGCTTGGAAACGAACTACGGTTCACTTCGCACCCTCGATCGTACTTAACGCACGACTCCGTTTGCGCAGCGCGATCTCAGGGGCTCTTTCCGATTACTCCCGGCTCCATTGAAAGCCGGACGCGCACCTGTGCTGCGGAAGTGCGTAACGTACAGGTGCAGTCCGCTGTGACACGACCGCGTGTGTCTGTGTGTTTGTATCTGCTATATACGTCAAAAAACCGGCCACCTCGAGACCTCGATTATATTCGGCGATTTATTCCGGCGCGCCGAATACACACACACACACGTATAGAACGGGGGTGTCAATTGAACCGGATGAAACAGTTTAACATCTTTTAAAGACGGCAAGCGATTCAATTTATTTTCCGCCGCCCCTGCACGGTAACATAATCGCGCTTCGTCGCGCGTTCGACGTTCTCTATTTTGCATTCAAAATCGACGTGTTCGATATATCGTTCACATATGATACGTCGATGTATGATGCGTATTTGTTTTTATTTTTTTTATCTCAACCAGACTCACGCGCGTATGCGTAATCGTACATAGAAATGATCCTTAGAAATGATCTACTCTAACGTAACGATGTTATAGCTTAAATATATCTGTCTGCGTGCAAAGTAATCGATTTAATGTGAAATGTGTTTCTAATTACAGAACAGAACTCAAGATTCGCTAGTGGGATGCGGCATACCGTGTAAGATCGAACAGGTAAGAATTTATTTAATTTTGGCACAATTTGAATGTCTGGAATTTATACGAGCATTTCTCTTTCAATTTGTTTCGTGGTGTGTGTATGTGTGTGTGTGTGTATTAATGTTATTTTCTCGTTTTTATTATACTCCGACCGACGAAACGGCTCTCTCTCTTCATTACACTATAAATTGTACACCGAAAAAATTGTATTCTTGTTTTGAGGATATCCTCCCACTTACTTTAAGTATATTTTATACTAAAATAGGCGCCAAGAAGAGTTTCTTATTTTAAGAGGAAAATCCTCTAAATAATAATATTGATAAGAATATATACTGATTAGAATATAAAAATCTCTCTATAGAAAAACATATATATATATCTCACTATCGAAAAAGACTATATATATATATATATCTCACTATCGAAAAAGACTATATTATTAAATTAAGAATATATTCTTAAATAAAGAATATATTCTTAATTTCAGAAGAATATCATCTAAAATCTTTAAGAAGATTTTTTAAGTATAAAATCTACTTACGAGAATATAATTTTTTCGGTGTACTAAAACAGAGAATCAAATTTATTTTAACAAATACACTTATACGTAACAAATATCGATTGTTAATTTCTCTTGCTGTAAACACATATTAACAATATAATAAAAGAAGTCGCGCAATGTCAGCTGTTACACCGAAAAAATTGTATTCTTGTTTTGAGGANATATCCCANTTACTTTAAGTATATTTTATACTAAAATAGGCGCCAAGAAGAGTTTCTTATTTTAAGAGGAAAATCCTCTAAATAGTAATATTGATAAGAATATATACTGATTAGAATATAAAAATCTCTCTATAGAAAAACATATATATCTCACTATCGAAAAAGACTATATTAAATAAAGAATATATTCTTAATTTCAGAAGAATATCATCTAAAATCTTGAAGAAGATTTTTTAAGTATAAAATCTACTTACGAGAATATAATTTTTTCGGTGTACTTATATCTTGAAAATTATTTTAAAAAATGTTGCGGTTTCCACACAAGGAAACTTGTGACAACACGTTTCTAAAATAAGAAACGTAACAATTAATCTTGCATTACCTACTAAAGGAAAGTTTCTTACCTACTTACTTACCTATAATAAATTACGTTCGAGTTTTGTAACTTAGAATTGTTCATTCGGATCACTTTCTTTCGAGTTCTCCTTGGAGATGTTTGGATCTCGTTGATAGAATAGGAAATTGTAATGGATCCACTTTGAAAGCACCGCAGGCAGATCCTGACGGGACGTCGCGATACGCGAATAACCGGTGCGGACGTCAGAAACGAAAATGAAGGGACGAGACGGTCCCCCGGTTACAATGAAGGTACTTCCGCTGTTGTCCCTGCGGGGCCTCACAGCTTCTAACTCGCGGCGGCGGCGGAGATGGTAAATGACAAATAAAAAACAACGCGCGCTCGATGAATGGGACGGACGTACGCGCGTACGCACGAAGCGTATTGCGCGTACGTTACGAATGAAAGAATGGTCCGGTCTCCGGTTTGTCTCTCTCTCTCTCTCTCTCTCTCTCTCTTTCTCTTCTGTGCTCTTTCTCTCTGTAGTACAACTTCGAGCCTTTAAATTAGATCGCGTACAAATGCGGCCGATGGCGGATGTCGCCAAATTGCCGTGCGACTCCGGATTCAATTCTCTCGCGCTTTGTCCGTCCTGTGCGCGCTGTGTATCTTTCCTCTCGTATGCACGAAACGGAAGTATGGATTATAGCAAAAACAGGAAAACCTCCGGGAGTAGCGTCTGTCTTCCCGGCTGTCATCGCACGGCAGAGGACGGATAGATTTAAAACAGCAATAAAGTCCTGAAGTAAATAGATTTTCTCTCTCTCTCTCTCTTTCTCTCTCTCTCTCTCTCTTTTTTCATAACATATATAAAAGTTAAATCTTGACGTTTATTTGCGAGAAAGTATTTTCATAAAATATATTTCTAACATTTTATGCGATATATATATATATATATATAATACATATGTGTATCTTACAAAGTAATGATAAAAACTCTTAAGTATTATAATTTTTAAGCGACAAGTATCGCTTTTTTTCCACAAACGTCCTTTTCTTTTGTATTTGTTATTGTCAACATAGTGTAAAAAAAATATCAAAGAAATATAAAAAAAATCAAAATTCCAACTGCAGTGGTGGAGGAAAAAAACAGGACCAAAGAAACCTCTGAGTGACGATAAGCAGCGACACATGTCATCACAAACTACGAAACGAGTAAGGCAATTATCCCTACGGTAAATAGGATAACAAAAAAATGTCAGAGTATATATATAGCACGATTATCGCATTTTTCTGAAAATAAGTTACTTAACGAGCCGGACGGTTGTTACGAGAGAACCATAAAAAAAACGGATAGGACTAATTGCATGTCCACAATAATTTACACCCTCGTTTCCTTTCACGATTCGTAAGGTTGCCACTCATCAATAACGAGTAAACGGACACAATACGTATGTAAGTAAACAAAAATACCTTGTATGATTTTAATCAATTCAGTTTTAAATTTCTTTTGTTGGCGTACCTTAATTTTTACAGTTAATTGATACGAACAATTAAGTACACATTGCGCACTTCCGCGATACGCGACGGTACGCTCAACAAACATCAGAGAAATGACTTTACGTCTCTTCCGGTAATTTCACAGATCGATAACGATGAGAATTAATAACCGTTGGAATTTCTTTTGTCCGATGCCCTTTCTGATTTTTTTGGTTCGCTCTTGAAAATTGAGGTAGCACCCTATCCTCTGCTCGTTTCCGGAAATATCAGTCAGTTATGACTTCCGATCTCTCTGCAGACTATATAATTAATTAATTACATTCAGTCATTTCGGTCAGGTTAACAAATAAAAATTGCTTTTTATTAGACAATAAAATAATTTCAAGAAGTGGACAAGGCAGTTGCAGTCAAAAACACAGTTGTTGTTGTGTATAAATGTAATAATGATGATTTTCTTTATTTGATAGTTAATAAAAATGACGTTTCGACCATAGTTTTTGGTCTTTATCAAATTCGTTAGAAATTTGCTGTTCGCAAAAACGTCGATCAAGATACAAATTCAGGCTGTTATATGGTAGTGATCGCAGATAAGAGTGTTACTTAACTTTCTAACGAATTTGATAAAGACCAAAAACTATGGTCGAAACGTCATTTTTATTAACTATCAAATAAAGAAAATCATCATTATTACATTTATACACAACAACAACTGTGTTTTTGACTGCAACTGCCTTGTCCACTTCTTGAAATTTTGAATATCTGGAGTCATCCGTTTTCTGAATAATAAAATAATTACAATAATAGATTTTAAATATATTATCGCCACATCAGGCATAATATCAGAAATTTTATAATATAATAAAAACAATTGCACCGCATCTGTTCTTTTACACCGCTTTTTAACGTTCTCTGCTTTACGTGCGCACATCGGGAGAAAATATAAACCCACGAGCAAACGATATAAACAGCTTGTGTGTATCGCGTGCCCCAGGAAATACAGACAATCACAAGTATGTTTGTCTGACAACGAAGGTAAAGTGAAGTGGCCACCGACAGCGTTGTATCCGTACAAGTGTCTCCGCTTGATAGCAGCTACTGGCCAGAAGCCACTTTGACTGTCGAAAATTGCTGTTCGAATTTAGCTGGGCGCTACGTACGCCACTTCGGCGCGACTTCCAGGTCTTGGCTATCTCGTCTTTTGTAATTACGAGAAAAACGTGTTTGTGGAATCTTTAACTTTTATTGTACATTTATAAATATTTCTAGCTATCGTACATAATATTTTGATAGTGTATATATGTATATTTGTTGTTTATTAAAAATAATTAAGTTTTTAATTATTTCAGAAGATGCGAAATTGCGGAAAAAAATTTGACACCGCTTTTAGTTACACAAATCAGCAGCTCGTTATAAAGACATTACGAAAATGAGATCCTATGGCGCCGTGTTCGTTAGATTTTTTTTCTGCTCGTCAATAGTCGCGGGGCGAGACTCCGAAAGCAAGCGTGGTATTACAGTAAATAGGGGTAAAAGCAAAACGAGGAGAGAACATATAGTAGACGCTCATCTGCGACGGGAGATAAAGATCTACGATCTACGGGGAGCCGCGCGTGTAAAGCGAGGGCAAGCCCAGCTGGGGGGCATATAATACGCGCTGAGGATTTAATGAGGAAGTGAGAAATTAGCGGCCGCTGCGCCGAGCCTCTCAACTTGGTCATTTTCTACTGTCCGATAGTTTTGTCAACCCTCATATGCGGACGGCTAGATCGTTTAAAATCTTGCGTTTGATGAGGCGCGTCGAATTAAAGCGCCCAGATGTTAGTTCGGACGAATTAAATCTCAAGATCTTCGTGGTATATCCTTTGTTCTCGCTTACTCAATTGAATATTAACATTTTAAGAAAGAGTGAAAAAAAACTATTACGTGCTGTAATTTTAAATTTATTTAAATTTATTTAATATTAGTAATAATAAATCGAGATTACTCTCAGGCTCTATAAGTCTTTTAAACTAATAATATATGAATATAGGACCACATGAAGAGCCGTTCGCAAAATTTATTTAAATTAAATAAATGTAATGTGTAATAAATAAATTTCATTTATTTATTATGTATTAAATGTATATATTAAATTTATTATGTATTAAATGTATATATTAAATTTATTTATTATGTAATAAATAAATGAAATTTATTTATTACATAATAAATAAATTTAAGAGTGAAAAAACTATTATGTGCTGTAATGTTAAATTTATTTAAATTTATTTAATATTAGTAATAAATCGAGATTACTCTTAGGCTCTATAAGTCTTTTAAACTAATAATATATGAATATAGGACCATGAAGAGCCGTTCGCAAAATTTATTTAAATTAAATAAATGTAATGTGTAATAAATAAATTTAATTTATTTATTACATAATAAATAAATTTAAGAGTGAAAAAACTATTACGTGCTGTAATTTTTAATTTATTTAAATTTATTTAATATTAGTAATAAATCGAGATTACTCTCAGGCTCTATAAGTCTTTTAAACTAATAATATATGAATGTAGGACCACATGAAGAGCCGTTCGCAAAATTTATTTAAATTAAATAAATGTAATGTGTAATAAATAAATTAAATATTTATTTATTACACTTATAACATCTTTCAGACTTAATAATGCACGTTCCGCACAATTAATAATGTTTGTTTATAATATTACATTCTACGCCAGAATTATTTCATCAACTAACAGAATAAAATTTATTATCATCTCAACATTAAAAATTCTTACGGCGAGGAAAAAATTCAATTACAGTACGGTATATTACTACGCATGAATAATATCGAGTGTCACGTTCGCGTTGATGATTTACCGGGTTTCGCCGAGATGCTCCACAGCATCTCAAATGGAATATTAATAACGTTTATCTGGCACTGAGGTCCCTTCCTTCTACAAACTTTTCAGGCGACTTGACCTATGTGATACCCTCGTACGTCGCCATGTATACGCGTATATATTTTGTAAGAAGACATACAATACGTCGCATATCTTGAAAGATCAACCAGCGCTAAAAGTTTACATCGTTTTTGTCAAGACAACTCGACACAAAACTTTGACGTATTGCGTAAATTGAACGTAAATTAAAAAATCATGTTTTTTTAACAATGAACATAATACAAAAATATAAGTATATTTTTGAAGTTTTATATGAAAGTGCGATTATATACGAAATGTTTTTGAAACTTTTTGACACGGTACATGACTTTTCTGTTCAGACTGACGGAATTTATTTTTGCCTCAGCTGTGTCAAAAAGTTACGGATAGCCTTTATTTGTGTGTTCAAAAAACTTCTACGCATTTCATTTGCATGTGTTTGTGAATAAATGTGACGCAACGTCGCGACCGAAAATATCGTCTGAAAAAAAAAGTGGTATCGTATCAATACGTTTATTTTTTAATTTATTTTTCGTGCGTGTGCTCGTCAAATCTCTCTCTCTCTCTCTCTCATCGTATCAGGAAGAATTGATTTAAAATTTGCAAAAACAATTGCAACAACCTTTTTGCGCGGCTGGCGCGGTTCGTTGGAAGAAATTAGGTTTCTCGTGCGACGCAATTTGCTTATTATTCCGCAATGCCGAGTGGCGGTATTATTTATGTGCGGCGCCTCTCGAACACTAAGCGGAGTGTCGATCAGCTTGCCAATTGCTAAATAACACCTCTCGTATCTCCGGACATTAAAATAGATCTTTCACTATGCACCACTTCGAAACAATCGTACTTGACGATCCAGCAGCGCGACGGTAAAAAAAAAAATTTGTGAAAAATAATTATTTTTTTTTTCAATTTTCTTACACAAGAGAGAAAATTTATACATAGCCGAACTTGTGGTTTGTCAATTACATACGTTTAAGTACTTAGAGAAATGACCGCGATGTGATCGAAGTGTTTCAACCGTTTAAGAATAAATCAGAGATCCTATACTCGAAACACTCGAGCGCATTTGTACGAGCCGCACTCGAGACGCGGCACTTCTGTATATTTACACTTCCAGTTGCATTAAGCTACAATTTCTATCCCGCTGTTTTTTTTAAAAACTTAATAAAAAAAAAAAACGTATTTACACAATTCAGTTTAGCGTGTTGCGAAACACAATTCCGAGTTTCTTACGTCCGAACTTTTCAAACAAATCAAGGCGGATAAGTGAACATATTATGTGTCTCCCACACACATTTGTTAAACTGCAAAATAATAATAATATAATTATTGGTGTAACTAAGAGGCTGGGCGAACCGGTTGCAAGGTGTTATGCAAATAAAATCCAATTTTGTAATGTTCTTTCCAAACGTTTCGACTTTATTTGTTTAAGTTATCTTCAGTGGTAATATTACAACATTTCTCAAACGTACAACAAAGAATTTGAATGTGACACTCGTCGATGTCGTTATGAACGTGTCGTCTTTGTTAGAGTAACAATAATAAATAACAATAATAATTTATTTTAAAACAAACCAGAGGACAACTCTACACACCACTTTTTAATAATATAATTATAATAAATGTGATTTAATTAAATAAATTTCAAATGTGACAGGCAGTTGGAACTAAAAACACGAGTGTTGTTGTGCGAATATTTGATGGAAATATTATTTATTCATGTATAATTTATTCATAATGTATTATTTATTCATATAAATGAAACATAATAACGTTTCGACCTTCCGTTTAGGTCTTTATCAAATTAAATATGTGCTGTTTAACAAACTTCGTGCAATACAATGATGATAAGTAAGATGTTACAATAAGTTGTATCGCAAACAAGAGAGAGAGAGAGAGCTGTACATGACTTGATATTTGCGATACGATTTATTGTAACATCTTACTTATCATCATTGTATTTTACGAAGTTTGTTAAACAGCACATATTTAATTTGATAAAGACCTAAACGGAAAGTCGAAACGTTATTATGTTTCATTTATATACATGAATAAATAATATTTCCATCAAATATTCGCACAACAACACCCATGTTTTTAGTTCCAACTGCCTGTCACGTTTGAAATTTACATATTTTTGTAACTATTTGCCTTTTCTCTGAATTATCAATCAAATAACATTTTTATCATTTTCTCGCGTAATATCACGTAACAATTCTTCATGCCCGGTAAAAAATTTTTCATATATACACTTATACACAAATTAGAATTATTATATCTAATTATCCAAATTTATATGCCAAATATGTCCATACAATTTTATACACAAAGAATTTCTTTTTTTAAGAGAATGGCTTCAGAGATATTCCACATCAAATTACAAAATAACTCTATTAGTATCATTAGTTAGATACAAAAAATTATATAAAACTATATTTTTACTATATTTTAAAAAAATTTTTGATATATAATCATATAGATACTTATACACAAATTAAAAAATTATTATATCTAATTATCCAAATTTATATGTGTGTGTGTGTGTGTGCCGAATATGTCCATACAATTTTATACACGAAGAATTTCTTTTTTTAAGAGAATGGCTTCAGAGATATTCCACATCAAATTACAAAATAACTCTATTAGTATTATTATAACATTATTATAACTTATTATAACATTATCATGTTAGATACAAAAAATTATATAAAACTATATTTTTACTATATCTTTAAAAAATTTTTGATATATAATCATATATACTTATACACAAATTAAAATTATTATATTTAATTATGCAAATTTATATGCCGAATATGTCCATACAATTTTATACATGGAAAATTTTTTACCGGAAAGTGAACATATCATGTGTCTCCCGCACACATTTGTTAAACTGCAAAATAATAATATAATTTATAATAAATGTGATTTGATCAAATAACATTTTTCTAATTTTCTCGCGTAATATCGTCACTCCCTACGTATAATCCCGTAACTCCAAAACGCAAATTTTAGAGGAGAGCAGTTTAAAAGCTTAAAGCTTCATATAGTTTCTCTAGTTAAGAAATCTTTCGGTTTTAAATTTTTACCTTACTTATGAATATTTTTTTTTAATATTTGGTGACCATAAAGAACATGACTTTCTAAGTGTCACTATGCAATAAACTGAAAATCCCGTATGTGACACTTATGTAATTATACGTAGGGAATGACGATATCACGTAACAATTCTTCATGTAAAAATTAAACCAACATGTAACATTAAATATATACAAAATTTTTCCGAAATGTTTATGCAAATTTACTTGACATAAACGAATCATATGACATGCATATTATTACTCTAGAAAAAAAAACATATGTACCTAACTATAGCTAAAAAAATAACTCTCGAGATAAACAGACTGGCACGATAGACTTGAAGTTGCGCTGTTGTAACGCGTCCTCGGTCGTACAGCCGCCGGTTTGTTGTCGACGACAAATGCCCACATCCTCTCGCGCAGAAAGTTAATGCGTTAAACTTCACTTCGCAAATCCATGTCCGACACACCGGCCACGCAACGAGCGTCTTATGAACGTAGGCGTTACTTGAGGCACGTGCCGCGTTAGTTACGCGGAGTGAGACGAGACGCGGTCACGAAAAATTATGGTTTTGCTTCGCGGTGGCATAGCCCACCACGCGTTATGTCACACATCGTTCCAGATAACGTGACCCTATTGTTCGGCCAACTTCCGCCGTTGTATTTTAGCGGATCGTAGATCGCCGGATGACCTTCCACAGAAGGATGCGACACGACGGCAGACCGCTGTTGTTCGCAACTGTTGGTGTAATCCGATCGCATTCACATGGAAGCGTTTCATTGTCCGGTGCATGAAATGTCAGTAAACATAGCGGCAGAAAAGTTGAGAGAATATAGAAAGGATGTGATTTGTTAGTTGACTTCCTCGAGCGGATCAAGCAATTAATATTGCAAAAATATTAGAGCTTTTCTTTTTTTTTTCAAACTGAACACAAGAGAGGAAAAAAAAGAGCTTTGTAATTACACACACTCGAGTGTATTACTCATCGTTCGGCTTCAGATCATACGTTTGGTTTGACGTTTGTTAAACTTTGGTCGTCGTAATTACTTTATTTATTCGCATGTGTATTGCGTAAAAAAAAAAAAACATAAGAAAGAAAAAAAGAAAATTGAGAGAACAGATAAGAAAAAAGGCTGTCGCATTGTCGTCATTAAAATGTCATTATCTCATTTTCCAAACTCTCCACTTCTTTCTCTTCTGCTCTACTTCGATATAAATATTGTACAAAGAGTAAGGTCCATTTTTTCCGACACGATAGAGATATAAAAGTTCATTTCATAATATAAGAAGATAAGAGCGTTCTCCGTTTGCTTGTTTTTCTCTCTTATACGTTGTTCTTTATTTTTATTTTTATTTTTATTTTTTTTTTGTTGCAGTGCAAAAAGGGCTGCGAAGCGTGGGAGCAGGCACTCGACACAAGCTGCCAAGCTGTTTGCGTTGGTATCACCATTTTTATATTTTTATGATGACTATCATCCATAAAGACAGACTTACCCTAAAAAGCGCAACGTAAAGATGTATGTCCGAATAGAATTTACCGCTGCCTTTGGAACAATCTTGTGTTTCTTTTAGTTTTAGTTAATTTTTAACACACAGAAAAAGAAACGTCGTTTATAATTTTTTTCGAATAAACATTTTTTCTAATTTTATGGAATTGAATGCAAAATATTAAGTTAATGCGCTAATGTTCGCAGAACGGGGTGAAAGAATTGATACCGTCGAAGGATATGCATTGCCTCGAAGGCTGCCACGACGCTTTAAATAGTTACGCTCAACTGCTCAAAGGTAATTGTATAACTTTCGATTTTTGATATACATTAACTTATGTGTGGACGTAATTTCTACCTATTTTTATACAAAATTTATTTAACATAAATGTTGTCAAATTAAATCGAAAAAAATTAAGATTTATCAAAAAAGAAGTGATTTATTTGTTTTTGTGTTAATGCAAAGCAATATTATCTTTTTGAACTTACAGTTAAATATCTCACTTTTTTGTGTTAAGGAAGATAACGCAAAAAAGTCCAATTAAATCAAAAAAATTAAGATTATCAAAAAAGAAGTTATTTATTTGTTTTTTTTATGTTAACGCAAAGCAATATTATCTTTTTGAACTTACTTGTTTTCCTTAACACAAAAAAGTGAGATATTTAACTGTAAGTTCAAAAAGATAATATTGCTTTGCGTTAACACATAAAAACAAATAAAATAATTTCTTTTTTGATAATCTTAATTTTTTTGATTTAATTGGACTTTTTTGTGTTATCTTCCTTAACACAAGAAAGTGAGATATTTAACTGTAAGTTCAAAAAGATAATATTGCTTTGCGTTAACACATAAAAACAAATAAATAATTTCTTTTTTGATAATCTTAATTTTTTTGATTTAATTATATATTATTATAAAGCAATATATTATCTTTTTGAACTTACAGTTAAATATCTCACTTTTTTTTGTGTTTTATCTTCCTTAATATACTTTTAATATATCTTGCGGTAGTCATTTGATTATTGTTATTATAATTAACTGAAGAGAGATTTGAAAATGTAAGATATTTAAAGATATCTCAAAGATACGTTCTCTCTCGCGCACATAATACACTTCGTGTGTGCAGGAGCGTGATTAAATTTCAATTTTATAAAATTAAGAGGGTCCTGGACCGTCCTGTTATATTACCGATCGAAATAATTCGTATTAAGACGTGTTTTTCGTAATTATTGCTCGGATAGAAAAACGGCTCTACAGAATTAAAGAAAATAATAAAATGTATGTCGGAGACTTTTCAATATATCAAAAATGTGACAAAAAATTTTGATGTTAATTGTAAATCAAAAATTTTTGTTACACATTTTTGATATATTGAAAAGTCTCCGACATACATTTTATTATTTTCTTTAATTCTGTAGAGCCGTTTTTCTATCCGAGCAATAATTACGAAAAACACGTCTTAATACGAATTATTTCGATCGGTAATATAACAGGACGGTCCAGGACCCTCTTAAACGTTAAACCGTCTCTAAAAATTCGCGAATTCTTTGCCGTATTGATCTATGGAAGCGATTTGGTGCATCACTTCGTCATACTGATCAAAGTGGCTGGTATCACCGGGACTTTCGCAATGAGGAATGAAGCTCGGAGTCACTTTCTGATGATAAATCTCAATCCAGTCGATGGATTTGAACCAACGATGCTTCTTGATATCCATGCTACCGTCTTTCAAATTACCGTATCTTCTTGTTATGTCCACCTGAAGAATGTTCTTTATTATATCTCTCAGTTCGTCGCCGAAGTGATGCGCGAACTTGTATTTCCCGGCTACAATTTTTTCATAAATCTTGATGGGATCGCGCGAATAGAACGGCGGATATCCCGCGTTCATCTCGTAAATCAGCACGCCGAAGCTCCACCAATCGATCGCTTTGTTGTAACCCTTCGACAAAATCACTTCGGGCGCTAGATATTCCGGTGTGCCGCACAACGTCCATGCGCGGCCGTTGTTTAACATCTTGCAAAAACCGAAGTCGGTCATCATGATGTAGCCGGTATTTTGTATCAGAATGTTCTCCGGTTTCAAGTCGCGGTAGATCAGGCTGCAGTGGTGCAGATACTCCAAAGCCAGGACCACCTGGGCGGCGTAGAACCTCGCCAGTGATTCGTCAAACTTTCCCATACGCCTCAAATGGGTGAACATCTCGCCGCCGTTCACGAACGGCAGCACCATGTATAAGTAAGAATTGTCCTTGAAAAATTAAAACTGTTTGTAAAAAAAAAAAAAACAAATTAATATTTTTTTTCTGAGAACAATTGATCAGAAAACAATTTCCTGGACACATATCCGTCCGGACAAGTAAGGAAAATCGATATCGTTTTTTTTTATTATTTCAGATTTTCAGTTCTTACTTTGAAGCAGAATTTCATGAAGACGGTGAACGGAAAGCTAATGGATTGTAGGATCCGCTTCTCGTTGCGCGCGTGATCCACCTGCTTCATCTTCACGATTTTTGCTTTATCGAGCATCTTCATGGCGTAATACGTAGACGTGGGTTTGTACTTGACGAGGATAACGCGACCGAAGGCACCGGTGCCGAGGGTTCGGAAACGATCGAAGTCGTCCAGATGTACGTCGTCGTCCGTCTTCGTTTTCCATTTTTCCAAAAACTCTTTCTTCTGATTTTCCAGAATATTATTGTACTCCGCGAACTTGCGTTCTCGTTCGGTGTCAGCCATATATTGTCGGGGTTTGAACATTCAATCATTCGTTTAAATGAATCTGTCTCCGAGTTCAAATGGTTAGGAGAGACGACACGAAATAAGAGACAACGATTGTGCATTGTTTCTTACATGTGTTCTTTTGCACATTCGCCATTGCGCGGACGCATTTGTAGTGTTTTGATCAAAAGATGCTAGATGCTAGATTTAAAACTCTTTAAGCTGAGAGAGAAAGATGGAAAAATTAGATTTTTGTTTTTAATAAACAGCAAAAATTGGCACACCACCAGCACCGGCGTTGGTTGCGGATTCGTTGACGGCAACGTCGCTCAAGCTCGAATGGAAAGGAATAGACACGCACAATCTCGCTGGCATCTCGTACCTGATGCAATGGAAGTACGAAGAAGTGTCTGAGACATGGCAATGTTGCAGAAACCAATCGTGGAGCGAAAACGATCAGATATTGATCGAGGATTTGCACCCATATACTAATTATAGGGTACGTAAAAAAAACGTAAGAAAAAAAAACAGAAAAAAGAAAGAACGTATATACTTGGAATACTTTTAAATAAACTAAGCGAAAGACGAGCATAATATGTCGCGAATAACATTGCTAATTAAAAAAAGTTTTAATTGGGTCAATCGAGCAAAATAAGAGGTTGATGATAAATATTCCAATAAATAATAATTACATGTAAAAAGCACGAAACGTTTCGTCTCTAACTTGAGACCTCTTCAGTCGCAACAAATAAATTAACATATAAACAATATAAAAAAAAAAAAAATTAACAAAAATTAATTTAATTTAAAAATTGTTTATATGTAAATATAAACAATTATTTATATGTAAATATATTGTTTATATGTAAATTTAATTAATTTACATATAAACAATATATGTATATTTATAGTATCTCTTACATTTAAACACACACCTTGTGGGGGATAGATAGAGAAAAATGCGCTTCTTCGTTTTTGAGATTAATTTTATATTTTTGTATATTTTTTTATATTGTTTATATGTAAATTTAATTAATTTACATATAAACAATATAAAAAAATATACAAAAATAGAGAAAAATGCGCTTCTTCGTTTTTGAGATTAATTTTATATTTTTGTATATTTTTTTATATTGTTTATATGTAAATTTAATTAATTTACATATAAATTGTTTATATGTAAATTAATTAAATTTACATATAAACAATATAAAAAAATATACAAAAATATAAAATTAATCTCAAAAACGAAGAAGCGCATTTTTCTCTATCTCCCACAAGGTGTGTGTTCAAATGTAAGAGATACTTTACATTGCCGAGTTGTTGTTCACAAATAAAAGATGAATGTAGTCCTGGAAGAGTACACACGTGTGAAGGAAAAGGAATTTGTTTATATTGTTTATATGTATTAATTTATTTGTTGCGACTGAAGAGGTCTCAAGTTACGAGACGAAACTTTTCGTGCTTTTTACATGTAATTATTATTTATTGGAATATATATCATCAACCTCTTATTTTGCTCGATTGACCTTCTCTTATTTATACTGTTATTGCGAAGCGTCTTTCCCCTTACTTTGTTTAAGTTTTAATTGATTTTAACAATTGTCGCAAATCTATTTTTTATTTTGAGAATTTGTTCTCTAGTTAGTTTATTAATAATTTATACGTTAAGCTATGAACACAACCGTGGTGGGTTGCAGTTTCGCGTGGCGCTGTTTCTTAATCAGTATCACGACAATCCGATCATCACGTCGGCGCCAAGTGTGGTAATATCAACGCGCGCGGCCGGTCTACCGACATCGCCACCGAAAATCGTAAGAGCGACGGCGGTAGATAGCTACCGCGTCTCTGTTTCTTGGATACCGGGTCAATTCTTGAACGGGCCGTTTTTGTCTTATGTCCTGAGACTGCAAGGGGATGAATACTCCCAGCTTAAGGTACACGCCCCGCCAGAACAATTTGTAATCTACAAAACACACATATGTTTTTTCCTACAAGCAAATCTTTTTTGACTCTTTTTTATTTACTTTAGCACTCGACCGAAGTCGTCTATCTTTTGCATATATTTCTGCGTGTGTGCACAACAAATCTAATTTGTTTTTTTCTTTCTCAATCAAACTCCGTGCACTCTGTCTCTCGCAGATCTACATTTTCGCGCACTTTCAGATCTCTACGTTACGCTTTACTATGTACTATCTAACTGTTGTTTACAGAAAGTGCAATCTGCAACTGGTTCTGCAAGGTAGACCCCTCGTTATCCCATCCAAAGGAAATTCATTGACGCGAAAAAAAAAAAAGCAAGTTTACCAAAAGTTTTATTTACGATTTACATTATATAATTGCAAATTGCAAGTAACAGCAATAGCAATAAACTCTTTTCGCAGTTAATGTTACTTTAGCATTGTAAAATAGTGAATTTATTTTTTTTTTTTTGTTACAGCTTTCAGTTTTTGAGTAATATGTGTATAACATATACAGGGTGTCCCAGAATTGCCGTACAATCTCTCGTAGGCAGGTAGAGGGAGTAAAACTGAGTCGAAAAGTCCTGAACCATTTTTTTCTATTATTTATAATAAAGGAGGACGTGCGGACCTGGCTAAAGGTCGGCGCTGATTGGCATGATTTACTCAATAATTACTCTTTTATTATATGTAATAGAAAAAAATGGTTCAGGACTTTTCGAATCAGTTTTACTTCCTCTACCTGCCTACGAGAGATTGTACGGCAATTCTGGGACACCCTGTATACATGTACTTTTTTTTAAGACACTTTGAGCAAAAAATTTCTCTCTAATATTAATTATATATACTCAAATATACGCAAATAAATTTTTATATAAATTAATTGATATATATATATGTATTTTTTGAGAAGTAAAAATTGTCAATGAATCGTAATTTACTTTCAAACTTTTGCGCTTGTCATTTTGCTTGCCAAAATCTGCGGAAAATGCACGCTTTGGAAATGTTAATAACAGACACACTTTTATACGGGGCACTTTCATTAATCACCGCCATCTAGAAACCTGTTCTCTCTAACACATATTAGTTCGACTTGCACGAACCAGATTATCTACGAAATAAGTTTCTGGCAAGGCGTTTTTTCTCCTTAATCGCATATCTATTTTCTAACAAGGGATTTTGACAGGATTCGATGCGTTTTTTTTTACGAATCATACGATATGTAATGTTGCATTTTACCAACAGGACATTCCAGCTAAAGAGAACACCGATCACTATATGTTTCAAAACTTAGAACCCAATAAGAATTATTCCATCAGTCTGACTATGAGAAATGAAGTCGGCGAAGGTCCGTGCGCGACTGTTTATATTTTTACCCCAAAACCAACTGGTATGTCGTAAGAAATCACATGTTATATTCAATGTTAACACGAAGAATAACAATCTAATAATAATAATAATATACTATAAGAAAAGCAAAAACCAAAGAGCCGCAGATCCAAGGTGGAAGTGGAAATAAATTGTAACAGCAGTCAATGTAAGTTAAGTGGACGTTTCGATCCTTTTATTGTGGATCATTCTCAACACTGTTTAAATTGAAAAAACAAATTTAGATACAAGATTGCACAAGAATATAGTGATTATTCGCATGATAATTAAAATTTGACTTATTATTTATAAATTTTGACTAATTTCTCTCCTTTGACTTGTTATAATTTTCACTTTTCATTAATATATGATTTTATTTGAAATTCTGGTTTAGACTTTGATACATAGACATCATACATTGTTTTCGTTTTGTATGTCTATGTCATTGGCTTTAGTTGCTGTTCTTTGCCTGTATACTCGTTATTTGATCACACAACGACTTGTCTGCTTAGGTGCGTATACATTATTTGTATTTTTACTTTATTTTACATTTTAAATTTTAATCTTAAATCAACTTTAATTTATTGTAAGGTCACATTTAATTATCATGCGAATAATCACTATATTCTTGTGCAATCTTGTATCTAAATTTGTTTTTTCAATTTAAACAGTGTTGAGAATGATCCACAATAAAAGGATCGAAACGTCCACTTAACTTACATTGACTGCTGTTACAATTTATTTCCACTTCCACCTTGGATCTGCGGCTCTTTGGTTATTGCTTTTCTTATAGTTTGTCTCCGTCGAGCCTTAAACTTTATTATTGATAATAATAATATATTCGTCAATATTAATAAATAAGTATATGAAAATGACTGAGATAAGATCAATTGTTTTAGTTAAGGATACGCAACAGCCGATTCTGATCCTCGGTGGCAAGCACGTGGTGATGAAACAGGGCGCCGATATGTTCGACAAGCCCATCATCATTTACAGAACCGAAAATGAAATTCAGGGTGTGGCGATACACGTGGCGTCCGCTCATTTGTTTGTTTCCACTTCGACTGGTTACATATATCGAACCTCCATCATCGAGAAATCAGAACCGAAAATTATTCTTAGCCCGAATCAAGTGAACTTCACACCGCTGAGTCTATCCGTCGATTATCTGAATCTTCATTTGTATATTTTGGGAGAAGTGAAGCACGCGAAAAAGTTACAGCAGATAACTAGATGCGATTTGGACGGTAGAGGTTTGACAGTAGCCATGGCTGGATTTCAAATTCCAATCTTGCACTTTGAGGTCGATCCTTACAACGGTTATATTTTCTGGATTACCAAATCGGGACTGTTCAGATTGGATTTGGCCGATATCAGCAACGGTATCAAACATGAGGTACCAACCGATCGCCAACATATTTAAATACTGTTTTTTTTTTTTAAATAATAATTGTCTTTGCAAGAATTCCCTTGTGACTTTGTTCTTTCTTATATTAATGATTTTCAACAATGTATGTGTTTGATTTATACTCCGTGAAATTGTTAAAAAATATATATGCAGAAGGGCCGATACGGAGTCAAATACTAGGTGTTGATGTATGAACAAAAATCTTTATTTAAACATGCCAAACGTTTCGACTCTTGGTTTGAGCCATCTTCAGTGGCATACAAAAATCTTGCAGTAAGGAAGAGATATCAAATAAATTAGTTGATATTCGTCACAGTGTTTCAAAAACCAAAAATGTTCTCTTTCCATGTCTCAAGTTAGATAGTACACAAGAAACATAAAACTACACAACTGATGATTCATCAGAGACATGGAAAGAGGACATTTTTGGTTTTCGAAACACTGTGACGAATATCAACTAATTATTTGATATCTCTTCCTTATTGCAAGATTTTTGTATGCCACTGAAGATGACTCAAACCAAGAGTCGAAACGTTTGGCATGTTTAAATAAAGATTTTTGTTCATACATCAACACCTAGTATTTGACTCCGTATCGGCCCTTCTGCATATATATTTTTTATTAATGACTTTTTGTTTTAGGTTAAACCATACTCGGTCCTTAAGGAGGAGAAGTTGGGTGCCTTCACGGTCGATCACACAAACTTCCGATTGCTCGTGTCGCATCAAAAGAACAACACGGTGTTATCCGTGTCATTGGACGGTCGCGAAGTTGTCAATCTTCGTCCCAACACGCAAAAGCCTAGATTTAACAAAGTTGAATCCCTAGCCATAGCGAATAGATTGTTTTATTGGACCAATGGCGAAGAAGTTCTCTCGGAAGGATATCATCCCGGTCAAAATATATATTTTCACAACGCATATCCTGACACGTAATATTTCTAAATATTTTGTAAAATGTTTCGTATTTTGTCTTGTTTATGCATTTCAATATTACATTCTAAAGTTTTGGCTATAAAAAATTCGATTGTATTTACATATTGTAAGAGTAAACATTTTTTTTTTTTTTGTTTTCAGGTCTGACAATTCTTTCGTCAGTGTGAACGTGCTGATGAACGCAAGTCAGCCCGTACCGATTCCAGTAAATCCTCCCACGGGAGTGCAAGCTATTTTAGGGGTTGAAAGAGTGAAGATTTCGTGGCAGGCTCCTTATTTATTAGGTGGTCAGGGAAAAGGTGCGTGGCAAGACTGGTTATACGAGCTCGAAATAAAGAACGAATTCACTGGCGAAACCATTCATCAGAAAGGTATAGCCGGATCGTCTCACACTGTTTACAATTTGAAGGAGAGATCAAAATATTTGATCAAAGTTGCGGCATTTACAAATGCCGGTAGAGGTCCGTGGTCCACGGAATTCCGAGGGCAAACTTTGAGGTAATAATAATTAATATTGTAATTTTTATATGTAAAGATGATTGTATGTAGCTTCATGAATTTTCAATGAACAAATGAATTTTGACTATTGAAGCAAAAACACTCTGTTGTTGGAGTGTGTAAATTTAAATCCGTTTATTAAAAATTTGATAGCATAATTAGGTCTTCTTCTTCTTCTTCTTTGCTGTAATGGCTCTTGCCCCGGTGAGGAAGGAGCATACGCCAGTCTTCGATTTACTATTATTACTAGTTACGTATTTGTTTAAACTAGAGACTACGACGATAATAAAGAAAGTGGTGTAAAAACACCTAAAATTGTCCAAAAATATTTACAGTAGAATTACGCACATCCAACCAACATGGCTGATGCAACGCGACTTTGCATAATTAGGTTCCTTATCAAATGCATTTAAATTTCTTAGATAATACACGTTGCTCAGTGCTGATCGAGAATGTCCATGTCGCGCAAGTCGTCCCGACCAACACTTTACAAGAGTGAAAACGCAGTCGCGTATATTATCTAAGAAATTTGAAATGCATTTGATAAGGACCTAATATCAAGGTCGAAAGCGTTTATGCTATCAAATTTTTAATAAACGGATTTAAATTTACACACTCCAACAACAGTGTTTTTGCTTCAATCAGCCAAAATTCATTTGTTCATTGTAATTTTTGTTCTCAATTAATGTTGTACTATTTATTTTCTTAGTTATAATACACACAATTGTTTTATATATATAGGAATGATTCGCACGCATTAATCTTGTGGTCATCGAATGAAGGACTTTTGAAAAGCGACGTGACCGGCGAAAACATAAACACTCTCGTTTACAAGGCGCGATTGAAGGAATCCGAGAACGAGTTTCACATCGCTGATATCAGTTGGTACAAAGACGAGCTGTACATAGTAGGAAATAATTCGGCTCTATATCGTTATAACATCACCAGTCATCAGAAAACGAAACTCAACACGTATTCGGTCGGAAGTGTCGCCGTAGACTGGATCGCGAAGAAAGTTTATTGGGCAAATCCGAAGCAACAAATTGTAAATACTAAATGTTTTTTTATTTATTATCTATCAATTTGCAAATATTTTCAATATATCTATGCTATATATAAGAATGTTTTTTTTTTGTGATGTGAATAAGTAATATCATACAAAATATATATCATAGATAACAAACAAAATTTCCAAAAAATTTTTAAAACAATTGCAAAACGAAATGGAATATATTTGAATTGGTAATAAATTTTCCAAAAACTTTACTACGTAATTTTGAACTTAAGATATATTATATACGCCTTTTAAAAATTATAATTTTGTGTATTTGCATTGCAATATTTTTATATGCATTTCCACTGAGGAGGATCCAAAATAAATTTGAAATGTACGTACATGCAGATTACACGAATGTATGTTGATTAATAATAAAAATATTCCCTAATTTTCTTCTATCGATAAGCATGTCGGATTTTTTTTATTGGTCGTAGTTTTATTTTTATCTGTGCTCTCGTTTAAAATTTAAGAATTTTATCTTACTTCTTTCTTTTAATTACAAAAAAAAAAAATATTATCTTGACAGATAATAAGAGCGAATTTAAACGGATCTCAGCAAGAACCGATGTTTATATTAGAGATGGTGAAAGAGCTTATGATTGATTCTCTGGAAGCGTATTTGTATTGGTCCACCAATCATGCTGTAGAAGTTGCGCGATTAAACGGACAAGAGAGAAGATACTATCACTTGAACGAAATTTTCATTGGCAAGCAAGTAATGGGACTAACGCTTGACACAGAAAATAGATACGTCTACTGGATTGTTCGAAGCTACGAAAGCGGATCTGTTATTTATCGAGCACCTACGGCCGAAAAAATACCAATAAACAACAAAATTGTTCCGGAAAAGGTATTGTTACTCTTTATTTTTATTTTTATTTTTTTTCCAATTAATTTTTTACATACACGCGCGCAAATAAAAAAAAAAATAAATAATAATAAAGTTTTATTTTTCATAAGGTTTCTGCTTTGCAACGTGCGAACATGCAAGGACCTTTGTGCTACTTTTCGGAACATCTTCTGTGGCTTCAAGACGACAGAAACGCGGTGATCGGTGATCTTTCCGGTCACAACACTGCTATAATCAACGGAATAACATTGTCCGATTTGTATATGGTGGCCGTTATGGATCCCGCATTTCATCAATATCCAAAAAATCTGACATCGGAAACCGTCGCGGTTCTGCCGAATGCCGTCGATCTCGACAGCATAAGAGTCGAGGGAAGTTGGCGAAATTTCAACATATCTTGGAATCCCGTGAAAAACGTTAATTACGGCACGGTTTTCTACGAAGTTAAATTCGCTGATTACATCAATACGGATTCGAATCCGGAAATCACGGTCGAAACGACGATTCCTTACAACAACTCGGATCAGATTCTACCTTATTCAATTTTGGAAGTGACCGTGAAGGCGTTTACTTATTGGGAAAATGCTCATCACTCTAGAAAGATTCTGAGATCACCGCAGAGCGTACCGACTCAACCGATGTCACCCAGAGCGTTTATAGAATTTCACAAGTCACTTTCGAGTTTGCACGTTAACATTTCCGCGATATTCAGGTGAGAATCTATATTGTTGTTCTTTATTTTTTTTAGCGATCGTACGATCTATAATCTCATATTAGATTTGTTGCAGATATAAAAATGTGTGCTGAAATATTTTTGCGGATTTTTGTTTTTTTTCATAGATGGGACCAACCTGAATTTGCAAACGGAATCATTCAGGGATACCGTGTGCGGTGCTGGTTCTTCGAAAACGCTATAAAAATTGAAATCTGTGACAATCACGATGTTTTGACCAAGATACTGGAATACGCAGTGTACGATTTGGTGTTTAACACAACGTATTATTTCCAAGTGCAAGCTTACACCACGGTCGGTGCCGGTCCTTATTCGGATTTGATCAACGTGACAGCCGCGTATGAATATCCAGTTCCCCAATTGCTAGTTGCCACGACAGACGCTGTGAAAATGTTGGACATAGATCAGGAGATCAACTACACCCTCACCAGGCACATCCCGATACAAGTCAGTTACTCGGCTGTGGAAAACAAGATCTATTGGATCAACGAGCTCACGTCGGAATTGGTGATGTCGGACATAAGCGGAGCCAATGTTACGAAAATACTCGCACTCAATAATACCGCTCACAGTCTTTGCGTCGATTGGGTGGCAAAACATCTTTACTGGTCGGAGTACAGTTATAAGAATGTAAGCAGTAGCTACATCATGAAGCTGGACTTGACAATGTGGGAAGCCGGCATAATCAAGTACAAAACCATTGTGACAACTGACAAACGTATTGTCAATCTCGACATATTGCCGTTTCAAGGGTACGTTTTCTCATGCGCAATACAGTCACGTGCGTAGTCTATTTTTTTAGACAGTTGCGCAGTTACTTTTTTAGTTATTTGTGTTAGTAAAGAATTATGTACTTCATTTCTAAGAGTTTATATAATTTTTTAAGAAACTTCAAATATATATTTTTTTAGAAAGTTATTTTGGATTGAATTGATCAATGATCGAGGTATAGTGATGGAATCGAATCTTGACGGAGAACATCGACTTATATTCGGAAGCAAAAAATCAAATAATGCGTGCAATTGTTCGTACAGACCGTTGGTAACATCCGCGATGACAATTGACAAAACCGATATTCGAAAACCGGTGATGTATTGGGTGATGGAGGATCGCTTGAACGTAGCCGACATTGAAGGTTGCATGTGCGGCGTGGTGTATAACGCAAGCTTCAACAAAGACATGACTCTCACGGTTGACAAGATTAACATTTATTGGTCCAACAACTCGGAGAATCAAATCTATTATTTGCAGAAAACAAATTTCACTTCCGTGAGCAAAACAACTGCGTCCGAGCCGAAACTAAAGAGTCTCTACTTGCCGAATGTGCGTAGCATCATAGCCTTCGGCAAGTCCCTGCAATCCTATCCCACCGCGAACTGCCTGATACCTAGTCACGAGAAATACAATGTCACGGAAATAAACAAAACGCCGAACAGTATCGTAGTCAATTTGCCGTCGCCGGTGCTCAACGAGCACGGATGCAAGAGGTTTAATCTACCTGCTACAAAGTATGTCATTCAAGTGTCCGAATGCGTGGGGGAAGATAAAGGTTTTAATTCGTGCGATAATCGTGACTGGATTGCAATGCCGACGTACGAGCGCCGTTACGAGATCAAGAATCTTAAACCGTTCACGAAGTACAGAATAAAACTGGAATTGAGCAATTTCTACAGCGACCTGTTGTCGGGAAGTCTGTATCCCAGATCGAGTTTGGTGCTAAGCACCGGGGTAGGCAGACCCGGAGTACCGGAAAATTTTACAGTTGAACCTCTCACGCCGACTATGATGGTGGTGTATTGGATGCCACCCAAGATATTAAACTCCGCTGTTGTTTGGTACGAAGTACACTGGATATTGATTAGTTTTAATGATATACGTCAAAAAGGCGAGCAAGTGATCAAGGAGCCTGAGCGTAAAGAGAACGGCAAATTCTTCACTATATTGCAACCGTTTTTACCAGGACAAGAATATCAAGTGTATGTGCGCGTATATCCCGCTAATTTCAACGAATACTACAACGAGACCTCTAATAAGACCATTCGCATGTATTCGGAACCAAATAACTTGACAGTAAGCGGAGTCAGCATAAATAGTATGAACATCTCTTGGATTCCAAATGTCAATCTGACAATCCGTTACCTGCTTCAATACAAAGACATAGCAATGGAGGAGTGGCAAGTTGCGAACAACTCCGACTACATGGTAGAACAGAACGTGGTGATGTACTACATAGAAGACTTGCAGCCGGTAACTTTGTACAATTTTCGTTTGATACTAACGTATCCTGGGCATGAAAATTTCACATGGCCGCCTGATGGGAGATTCACGTTTCAAACGCTTGGTAAGAATACTTTTTCAGAATTATTATATAAAAAAAAACGCAATACATAATATACGTTCTCAACAGAGAAAAAAGCAGTTTAAGGTATTACCCTCGATTGTTTTCTAATTTTCAGTTTTACTTTAAACTTTTACACAATGTTTAAAAACTTGATCTATGAACCCCTGAATTTTTTCAGATTTTTTTACCGTACAGTTTTTGAGAAAATCGAAAACGAATTTCGCACGATTTAACACGGAAGTGATAGGGAGAATGAGGAAATCACGTGCATTTACCTAAATATCTAGAGTTCGAATTTTCAGATTTGGCTAAAAATATTACCACAGCTTCTTTAAACTATAAAGAAAATATGTGTGAAAAATCAGACGCCTGTACCGTACAGTTTTTCAGTAATAATTAAAATAACACCGAAAACGAGCGATTTTATGATTAGTATGAGAAAGAGCGACGTTGCCATTTCCTCAATTGGAGTGAGATAGAACTATCTCCGCTCCTCCGCGCCCGCAGGAACGTGAGGGTAATACCTTAAGGAAAGAAAATGTAGAAATTTAAATTGTTTTTTTTTTGTGTAAATATAAAGGTGATGTTCCGAGTGCTCCTGGGATGCCTTTGGTGACGAGACTTCGCAACTCCGTTTATCAATTGAATTGGGAACCCGCGCAAGCTCACGGATCTCAGGTGACTTTGTATCGACTGGAGGGTTCGATCGTCGACGACAATTACAAACAGGGCAACGAAACCGATAACGAAAATGAACATTGGAGTTTGTACTACAACGGCACGGACAATTACTGGATAATTACCGGAGATATAGATCAGAAATATCGATTTCGCGTTCAAGCTAAAAACGCTTACGGCTTCGGTGCTTGGAGCAAACCGAGCGCGGTCGTTAATCTAACGGAATCAACGCAACCAAACATTCCGCTTATGTTAGGCCTTATCTCGGTCATTATAATGTTGGTGTTCTTCTGTTTTTTTTCTTGTCGTAAGTATATATTTCATAGTACAAGCTCGAGAGAGAGATTTAATCGCGAATTAATTCAGATCAAATGGTTGGGAAACTTACCCAGTAAACAATTTGTGTTCTCAATTTGCCGGCAAATTGTCAGCAATTTTAAGCAAAAATATTCCGCAAATTGGCATCAACTGTGTCCGCATTAGGCCTCGAGGCTTTGTTGCCAAAGCTTGTCGACAAAAAGTCAACAGCAAATTTCTAGCAAAAACCGAGCAAAGCTTGATACATATATTGGAAACATATTTTGGTCTGAGACCAAATTGACGCCAGATATGAAGCAAGATGATCTGCGCAACAAGACACAGCTTTGCTTGGTTTTTGCCAACAGCAAGTTGCTGTTATTACGTTTTGTCAACAAGCTTGAATATATTTTTGCTAGAATTTTTGCAACACTGCCAGACAAAACAAAACTCCGCGTCATATTTGATGTCTTTCTGCCAATAAAATTTGTAACAAGCATTTGGCAAAATTTTTTTCAACAGATTTGGTTGTCTGGGTTTGTTCTCGTTAACGCAAGTTGTTATAGAAACTGACTGATTTATAGTAACGCGTAATACACAAGTTTCGTTATTTTGCAGAGTACCGAGAACGTAAAATAGGCAAAAGAGCAGTTCTACCGCGAATAGTATCCGACGTCGAGTTGGCGACTCTTCGCGAAATACCTCACAGGAGATTCGTCAAAGTTCGTTCTAACGTGTTGTACGCTTCTACGTCGCAAACCTATTCGGACGATTCCGCGCTACCGAAAATCAGAAAAGAACAGATCACACTGAAACAGTTCCTAGGAAGCGGCGCATTCGGAAAGGTAACAAACACGCCCTGCTACGTTACATTAGACTGGTAACGGTATACAGGGTGTCCCAGAATTGCTGTACAATCCAGGCGCGTTTTTAAGACTGGTAAAACTTCGGTGCAAGGACAAAGATGAGAGGGCCCTTTAATTAATAATAATAATAATAATAATAATAATAATAATAATAATAATAATAATAATAATAATAATAATAATAATAATAATAATAATTATTATTATTATTATTATTNTTATTATTATTTATTAAAGGCAATTGGACAAAAGTTTTTAATGATTTTTTATTTGTATGCAAATTTAGAAACGAACACCTCTTCGAACTTTAACCGACATAAATTTGTTTGCAACATCTTCCAAATTTAAATTAATCAAAACATTTTTTTCTATTGATAATAAAGTTAGATCAGATGTTCTTTCCTGTGTCATGGTACTTCTTAAATAACTTTTAAGTCTCCTTAATACACTAAATGATCTTTCGGCACTCGCAACTCCGATAGGTAATGTTATGAATATTATAAATTTATAAATGTTTATCATGCACCGAGGGCCCGTCGGTGCATCGCACCGGTTGCACCGACGTTAAATACGCCTCTGGTACAATCTCTCGTAGGCAGGTAGAAGGAATAAAACTGAGTCGAAAAGTCCTGAACCATTTTTTTCTATTATTTATAACAAAGGAGTAAATTATTGAGTAAATCAGGCCAATCAGCGCCGACCTTTAGCCAGGCGCACGTCAGTGAACTGCGCGGAGTGCTCACACACACACCAGGCGCGTGGCTCACTGACGGTCGGCGCTGATTGGCCTGATTTAAATCAATAATTTACTCCTTTGTTATAAATAATAGAAAAAAAAGGTTCAGGACTTTTCGACTCAGTTTTATTCCTTCTACCTGCCTACGAGAGATTGTACGGCAATTCTGGGACACTCTGTATATTAATATTTATATACTTTGAGAAAAAAAAAGGAATATTTGCACTTGAAATTTCTAAAAAAAACAGGTGTACGAAGGAAGTGCTACAGATTTAGAGGGATCGGGTGCAACACCGGTCGCCATAAAAATGCTTCGAAAAGACGCTTCCGAGCGGGAAAAGACCGAGTTCTTGCAAGAAGCCATGCTGATGAGTCGATTCCAACATAAAAACGTGTTGAGATTGCTGGGTGTTTGTTTGGACACGACTCTTCCGCTACTCGTGTTGGAACTGATGTCCGGTGATTTGCTGGCTTACTTGCGGGAAAGTCGATCCTTACCGCCCACGGACTCGAAAGCTCTGCGTCTGCAAGATCTGCTCGCCATGTGCGAAGATGTCGCTCGGGGTTGCAGCTACCTCGAAGAGTTGCATTTTGTGCATCGAGATCTCGCGTGTCGCAATTGCCTGGTTTCCGCGAAGGACCGTGAGAATCGCGTCGTTAAGATCGGCGACTTCGGCCTGGCCAGAGATATCTACAAACATGACTATTATCGCAAAGTAAGCGCATCTTTTGTCGAGGAAAACTAACTCAAATTTATGCATTTATGTTGCTTATGTTACTCTTTAAGTTTTGATTTTTCTCTCATGTTTTATTGTTCACTTTCATCAAGATTGACATTTCGTCAAATTCACAGGAAGGCGAAGGAATGCTGCCAATTCGATGGATGGCTCCGGAATCACTGGTGGACGGAGTGTTCACTTCCCAGAGCGACGTTTGGTCGTTCGGAGTCCTGATGTGGGAGATCACATCGTTAGGCCAACAACCGTATCCCGCTAGAACCAACACCGAGGTCTTACATTACGTTCGGGATGGCGGGAGATTGTCGAAACCTCTCAACTGTCCGCCGTCGTTGCACCTCTTGATGCAACGTTGCTGGAATGCGGTCAATACCAGGCCGAGTTTCAAGGTTTGTCTTGAGAACATCGTCGCTTTGAGAAACAATACGGAGGACGCGGCGCTCAAACCGGAGCAAGCTCCGCATTATCCACCGCGCAAAGGTAAGCGAGAGGATATTGCTTCTCTCTCTTTTATTCGTGTACATAAATTTTTTCAAATTGTGTGTAACACAAAAACAATTTTTTTGAATCGCTACTAACTTTTTTCTCACATCGTAAACGTTTTTTTTTTAGAATCTTTAAATTTATCATATAATGTGTGTTACTTATTTGCTTGCATAGATACTAACTTTTGCATGGCTCCTGTTTCGAGACATATGACTTGTGGCGAAAGGAATCAAGTTCATATGTACTACTAACCTGTCATCTGTCAGTCGTCACTTTTATTATTTCACGGACGGAAGATCTAATTTTTCTCATTTCTTTTGTTAATCTTTTTTCATATTTTTCGTCGTTAAATTATTCTATATCTTATACATATTTGTATATTGTACTTTGTAAATTGTATGTATACAGCGAATTTTACATTTGCATTAGTTGTAATATTAGATTTTATATTTTAAATTATTTTAAAATTAATTTTTGTGATCTCTCTCTCTCTCTGAATACGTTACGCAGGAAATTCCTTAAAATCCGGCAGTTCAGAGGATATGGCCTTCTGCCAGAGCTCGAACACTGCTACGACCACTCCGCAATCTTGCTGGACGCCGAAATACTTGGAAATATTGGGCGACGTTGAAAATGCTAGTTCGGAAAGTCCCAAGACGGAAAGTCCCATAAATGACTACGAGGTGCCTCGTTCGATTCACATTTCAGATCAGAATATAGCAAGCACGAGCAGGATCAATTACACAAATCGGAATAGCAAATGCAGTCTGCACACAGAAACGACGCAGGAGCGTAAAGAACATTCGACCGAGAAGAAGGAACAAACTTCCGGCCAGTCGTATGACAAGAGACCGTCGATTACCAGTCTAAACCTACCGGATCGAAGAGACACGTCGGTTTTGGGCATGTCGAAGAAATGCAACACGTTAGACAGTCTGAAATCGGTTACCGCAAAACCGACGCTCAAAAGAGATTCCTTTTCGTTTTTCTTCCTTAACGGCCAGCCAAAATACAAAAACAGTCTGAGAGAACAAAAAGAGGTAAATACGGAAGATACGAGCTCGCATAACAAGACGATTCTGTCATGTGTGAAGAACAACACAAACGTCACCGTGAACGGTGAAGTGCCATCGAATGAAAGCGCAGTGACAAAGAACGCTTCATGTAAGGTCGAAAAAAAAAACCATACGATATTACAGAACGGCATTACGAACAACAAATCAATAGTGGCAAACGGAACGGTAAATCGAACGAAGCAAACACCTGTTATCGAAGATAGCAGCAGTCTCGTCACGTATACGAACATAAGGCGGTCGCTGTCGGAGTGAATTTTTTAAGTCGCCGAAGCGAAGATAAATCTCGTATTAAATGCCGTTGAGCTTCATACTGCTAAATTGAGAAAAATCAACTGCCTTAACATTAGTATATAAAGTGATATGTATATTATATATACATACAAAAGTATGTATATATAATATGTATATATTATATATTGTATATATATAATATACACTTATATATTATATATAATATA